TACTTGCTGGCCTATTATAAATCTTCAAAGTCCCAAACCCAAATTCTAAAAATTTTATTTGCCATAAGACTTTATCTAAACATCATATCAATCTCAAAAAAATTAATATATAAATTAAAGAAATACTTTATAAATAACAAAAAACGGCAAAAATTTAACTAACTCGGGAGAGATATTTATATATAGTACTATAGGCAATCGACTTTAAATATAGTTCGACTGAAGGCAATAGATAAAATTAAATGCATGATTTTTAAATAAGTTATATTTACCATGTTTGAAGCTGTTTAACAGTGTCTAAACTTTAAAATTTATATGAAATTTTAATTGATTATATTTCTTAATTAAAGTCAAAATTTGAATATAACGGGAGATGTGAATAACTAAATATTTTTTTCAGGATGGAATTTTCCGTAAGCAAAACTGAAATGATGTTCGGCAAACGCAATTGTCAGACCTTAAATGAGATGTTGATTCAAGAATATCCACCACTATTCAACATAATCACTATGAGTCAACCGATATAGTGACAATTATGTAATTATAAATTCGGAATTTACTTTTTGCTTGTTAAGACGTAATTCATTTTAAAGCAGTAGCAAATAAAGATAAATTAAAAGATTACCTTGATATACTTCATGATTATGATTTTTAGACAGAGATATGTCTATATAAGAAATCTGTTTTTTTAATCTTCCAAAATTTCATTTTACAATTTTTTTTTTTTTTTTAACCTGCCTTTAGTATATATATATATATATGATAGTTGATCCAAACATAAGTGACTGGTTAAGATCACAACAACAAAGTTCTCGTAAACATCGCATAAAAGTTACTATAATAGGTATCATAATTTTGGCCGCAGTTATCGGAGGTGTCGCGTACTTTATAAAAAACAGTAACAATAATTATTTAATTAATAGTAAAAAATTTCCTAATGCGAAATATTTCACTTGGGACAAAAGGCCTGTCAATTTAACAATCATTCCGAATACTGCCTATAAAAAAGTTTTTTATGGAATGAATTATGGTCCTGTAAATGCTAGTTATCCATGGTGTTCAAATACTTTAGGTGATGTTATCGAAGATGTGAAATTGATTTCTCAATTAACTAATAGAATCAGACTTTATGGTATGGATTGTAATATGGCTGATTACACTATGGAAGCAATAGTTAAATTAAAATTAAATATGACTATTGTTCCAACTATTTGGGTTGATGATAATGATACTACTTATCAAAGACAATCTGATATTTTATTTAATTTGATCAAAAAATATGGTGAAGATAGGATCGATGGTATTTCTGTCGGTAATGAAGGTTCGTGTACTTTCATTTATATTATTATTATTATTATTATTATTATTTCGTGTAATAATAATTTATATGAAATCATTAATAAATAGTTATCTCTTTATTCTAATAGTTATTTTTCGCAAAGATATTCCTACAC